GTGGGAGGGAGGAGGAGACTAGGGAGGTGAGGCATCAGCAGACCTAGCCCTGGTGTCCTCTCACCCCAGCTTCCAGCCTAGTGAATGGAAGCGTGGACTTCTGTGGGAATGGACAGTTCATGGCCCCCACTCTGTAGAAAGTTTATAAAATATAAAAAGTGGCCACGTTTCTTTGCCTCTGGATAAGAAAATTTAACACAACTAACAATTGTGAATGAAAGAACTGCTTGCCAAGCTAGTCAGGTAAAATAAATGCCTGGGAGACAGACAGGCCTAGTCTTGAAGATTTAGATCCAGCCTTTTTATCAAAGATCACTCAAACTTTGGATTGATATCCAGGGGTTGAGAAACCAAGGTCAAAAATAGGATGGGTAAAGAAAAGAAACTACGTGCCCCCATGTTGCTGGCTTTCCCACCCACATCCTACGTTTTCTTGCCACTAATTTTAAGTGGACCCTGGGAAAGCCAGGCTGTCTGGTGGCCTCCTAACTACTTCAGAACTCACCATCTTTCTGCCCTTTCTGTTCCGCCCCTGGAGTAGAGCCTGTCATTTTCCTAATAACTGTTTTCTTTTACTCTCCCAGGAAAGCTGCGTTTACCCTTTACAAGGGGCAGAAGTTCAGGCTACGTTGCTATTATCCCTCCCTTGTGGCCTGGTGGGGAGACCTCCCCGGCCCTCCCATCTTGTGGGCATCACTGCTCATCACCAAGCTCTTCAGAAAAGGAGTTTCCATATCCTCCCCCAAAGCCTGAGAAATGTCACAGTGGTACTTTCCAGACCATTCTGAAATGACTCACTGGAAGTCTGTCAACTGTCTTCCTTTCCCTCCTTAGGAATCCGATCATGGGACACCAACCTGATTGAATGCAACCTAGACCAAGAACTGAAACTTTTTGTATCTCGACACTCTGCAAGATTCTCTCCTGAGGTCCCAGGTGAGGCTTGGGTTTGGTGTTAGTTAACTCAGAATTTGAAAGGATGGGGAATTAGGCCATTGACTGGAAGACAATGCCTGGGACATCAAAAAAGACTTTCTCTTATTGCTGAAAGATTCTTTGTATTATTATCTACAAGGTTAGCCAGAAGCCATATTTTAAGAAAGTCAACCTAATGTCCCTGTGTTGGTTATATATTTTGTGGGTTCTTAGAGGTTTTTAAAGTTCTGGGGTAATTTTTTTTTTTTTTCTTTCTATCTCACTGTACTCTGACCTTAAGGGATTGCAAATTATTTAAATGTTAATTTTACTCCAGTGAAGTTTGAATATAAATTAGATGCCTTCAGAATCCCACATAAGAAAATTTAACACAACTAACAATTGTGAATGAAAGATCTTTCACCTGACACCTTTCCAAGAAAAAGGAAACGTCTGCATTTCAAAATGAAATATACATCATCATTTCATCCTTGCAGTGTAACCCACTTTCCTTAGTGTGGGTAAAAGTTCCAACTGTGTTAATATAGCCTTTTTTTTCAGAGATGAAAAAATACTACAGAAAAATTAAAGGTAAGGACACAAAAATTTGTCATGTGAAGATGCCCTCACTAACCAGCCATCTCACTGGGGATGTACCCTTGTCACCAGAAAGGGACCAGGACCGAAGCGGGTCTGCCCTGTCACAGTCTGGAATGTGTGGGTTCTTGGCTTAATGTGGGAAAGATGTCACAACACAAATCCAGGTGATTTTGAGAGTACAGTTTATTAAAGCTGGGGACAGTGAAACAAAGGAAGAGCTTAAGATAGAAGAGGCAAGATCATAGCGACAGGAGTGAACCTCGGTGAGGCTGCCTTGGCCCTTGAGAAAGTCACAGAGGCAGAAGAAGTGAGCCAGCTGGGGTGCATGGACTCAGGAAACAAGTTACAGAGGCAAAAGGAGGGCCCTTGTAGACAGGTCCAGGAGGTTAGCTTAGGATGAGCTGCCGATGCCTGCTGCTCCCCTGGTTGGAAGTCTCCTGGGAACTTTTAGAGCTTAGAAATAAAGCAAAGATCCACCCTTGAGGAAAGAAGAGGGAAAGGTGTGTGCATGCCCAAGGGAGAGCTCCCATTGGGTCCTTTGCCTTAAGGGTTTTTCTCTGTTTTCTAAAGGTGGGAATTTTAGGGGAGGATCTCAATAGAATATTCATCAGCTTTCCAGGTGTGTCCTTTGATATACTGTGGCATCAAAATAAGCATACAGAAGGATTAGGGTCATTCTCTGGTCAGTTTTACCTTCAAAGAATGTCACTGGAAAGGGAATGGGACTGAGACCAGTTTGCCCCAGCATGGCCTCGAATGTGTAAACTGTTTGATCCTAAGTGTCCTTGGTTAGAGAAGATAAGATCTTGCGATTTATTAGCTGCCTGTAAATTGCTCAGCGGTCTGTTTAGCTGTCTGTCTCAGTTTCCTCATTCCTCTTGCCAAAGAATTTTCCTAGCTTCTGACTATCCTGCCTCACCCCGACCTCTAGGCCTGGGAATGCAGGCAGATTCACTCACCTTGTCTTCCTCTTGAGAACAGTGACCTGTATTTCTCCCGATTGGTCACATTTAGGATAATGAGTAGGGTTGCCGGCCTGTAAAGACTCCAAAGCTGGGATATTTTTTCCAAAGCTCTGCCATTGATCCATCATAGGTACCATTGATCCATCATAGGTACTATATTGCATTTTATTTCTTGAATATCACTTAAATTTTATTTAAAATAGAATAGAGCATACTCTTTTCTGTCTAAATGATTTTGTTGTGTGATTGCTGATTTTATTGGCATTGATATAAACTCAGGATGGGATTCAGCCTCTTTTGACTGACCACATCATGTTCAATCAGCCTTGTCCATACTGGGATTTAAGACCATTTATAGGATGTCAGTACCTTCATGAATCACACTTGGCTGCTGCAATATGCCCACAAGACAGTCCAGTTCTTCTCTTGAAGCTTGATATTAGAATAAAATCCCATATATTCTAGTTAGCAAATGAACTGTGGCCCTCAAGCATGGAATCAAGTAAGTGCACTAAGAAAAACATAGCAAGAACTGGCTCACTAAAAGTTAAATGTGCTGCAAAGCCACGTGCAAAATCAGCTCTTGGTATTGAGAAAAAAGAGGATGATCCTGGGACTATCAGACGGCACATGATTTGCTGGAGTAAAAGGTACAGTATGTGGTTGTTTCTCTCGTTGTTACTGTGTTGTATTTTTGTGTCTTGCACATCTCCATAACTTTAAAAATCATCTCACAATAAGGAAAATACGGGAAGTGCCCTTTTCCAACAAGTATGTTTCAGAATGTAAATTCAAGCTTTTGTCTTTTCTTTGTAGGTTGTTCTGGCTTTTTACTATGACTGTTTGTTTATAAGACTACTTTTTTTGTTTTGTTTTTGGGGGGTTGGTAAACAAAGCCTGTGATTCCCATTGTGTTCATTCATACTTGGATTGACTTTATAGAATGACAGCTGTGTATTGCAAAATGCAAGGCTGTGAGAATTGCTAAAGAATTAACTGTTTTTGGACCAAAGACCTAGCGTTACTCTAGCGGACTAGGAAGGTCAAGTTCCTTGCCAATCACCACTTTAGCCTAATGTACCATTCTCTCTGCTTTTCCTGCTGTCACCTACAATAAGGGCTGGTTACCTACCTAGTTGTATCAGTGCTGTGCTAGGTGCTGTGTCTAGAGATGGCTTATAAAAGACTGGCGATTGCCTCAAATGCACCTAACAGCATGTGTGGGCAGCACAACCAGATCGGTGCCCTTGTACTAGTTTTTAAACATGGTTTTGAGGTTCACTTTTCCTATTTCTTCAGGATTGCAGGTTTCATTCAAGACATTCCTGAACGGTTTAGTCATGTTGAATAGATATCCTTTAAGTAGGAATCTGGACTATGATGCTTTGTCTGCATAAGGTGGGGTTGTGTAGTATGAATGGTGAAGTTATAGGCCCTCCCCTCCACCCCCGTTCTCCCAAGTGTGAGCCCTGGGGTCACCAAGCCCCCACCAGCTCTGGTGTACTTTGGTTCTTGGGATGGTCAGTCCTAGGGCCATCTTACTCTCTGAGACCTGTTCTAGCATTGCCTTTCCTAAAGATCCTTCATCAAACACCTGCTGTGTGCCCAAAGTAGGCCTCTGCTGGTTTGCCCTGATGCAAAACCATTCCTGGCCACCTCCAAGCTGGGCTCAAGTGAGACTAGTCATTCTGAGAAAAAACGTTAGGTATTCTCTCAGGAACACGCCTCAGGCTTTCACCCAAATGAATGTTGAACAGTTGAGTTTTTTCAAAACAGAGCAACAGTCTTATGCTTCCTTATATTTATAAATTCAAATACCATCCTAAAATTTTTATTTGCATATTATAGTATGTTTTTTGTATCTTAATCATGTTGGATGAAAATCATTTTTGTAAGTCTTACCACAAGAGTAGAGCAAGGCTTACCATGCTCATCTTGTTTCTTTCCCTGATTTAACTTCTACTGTTATCCCCATGTAACAATAGAGGAGGGTGTCTCCTAGGGGTTATAGGAAGTGCTCCATGATTATTGGTGTTAGACAGACATCATTTCAAAACAGCGAACAAATACAAGCCATTTCCAGGACAAGGGGCACCAGGAGAAAAATTCATTTTAATTTTCTTTTTTTCCATCATTGTGTCACTTCTGCCTATTAAAATAATTTAAAAATTTTGGGAACCCAAATCCTCACCAGCAACGTAGCATAATGATAAGAGTGCAGATTCTGGATCGTAGCTCTGACAGTTATTTGTATAGGATCGGACAAGTCTCTTAACCATTTTATTTTATGCCTCAGTTTAGAAAACAGGGATAGTCACTTCTACCTCAGAATTTTCATGAGGATCAGATGGATTAATGCATGTAAAGATCTGAAAACAGTGTTCATCACATCACACAATAAAACAAATGTATGCTAGTGTTTAAAATTGTCTCCCTTATTGAAAAATCTATTTGACTTGAATATTTGGTGTTTGTTATTATCTATGGGAAATACTGGCTTTAGATATTGGCTGACTTCCTTTTTGTAATGATATTAAAATTTCTATTAAAGATGTTTCTCAGAGAAACAACTGCCTTCGGCATTATAAGAAGGAACCCAGCTGCTGGTTATGCGTAGGGGGCAGTGACATTCCATGACTGAGTTTTGGAAGGTCCTTTGGGTGTGAGGGCAGAAAGGAGGCTATGCGTTAAGGTGCTGGCACGGCCGAACCGGAGGGCAGGGTTGGAGAACATTTGCAAAATGGCCCTGTTGGTACCCAGGGGAGGATGCTGATGTGCGTGAGGGTGCATCCACTTGCTCGCTGTGATAATCTGTTCATGAGTAGGGGAGGAGAATAGTTTTATATACCTTTCTAGGTTCTGTTAGCTGGTCTATTAAGTTGACATAAGACAGATTAACAGGAGAAAAACAAACCTAACCTCACAAAGACAATGAGACCCCAGGAAGGGCAGGTTGGGCAGTTGAAGGTTTTATGCCAACCTGAGCTAAGCAATGCAATAAAGGCCTGGAGCTTCAAAGGGGAGGAGAGTAATTTCCAGGACAATAAGAAGAGCAGATGTTTGGTAATTAGATGTTTGCCCTGCCATACAGGTAGGTCATTCATGTGAAAGTTCTTTGTTAGTAGCTCTATGAGCCAGGCCCCCTAATTAAATTCTTCTAGGTAATTAAGGGAGAAGTAAAAGTTTTTCTTGAGTCTGTGGGGTCTTGCCCTCAGCTCAAGAAAATCCACATGCCAAAGCGGTATATTTTGGGGTCACATACTCTGTTCCCCTTCAAGGGGCAACTTCTTCCACTCCATTTTGTTACACGATTCTTTCTTCGCTTTCCCCAACCAGCAAGTGACTATAGACGTTGCTAGTTTCAAGAGACCGAGGTTTCTGGTGGTTTATTTTCTTAGGCAACTGAATAAATAGCGAGACCTTGGCATGTGTACATTTTGTGACTGGATTTATAAC